GCCATCTCCCACGGATCCCTGGGCCTGGCCACCACCGGGCGAGCTGGCCCGTCACCCACTGCCTCAGCGGTCGCTGGCTCGGCGTGGCTCGCTGCTTGGAGCATCTCCAGCAGCAGGTGGTGAACCAGCGTTCCGTCGCGTCCCCCCCTGAGAGCGCTCGTACGAGGGGCCGGAATTGCGGCACCTTTTCGCGCCGGCGCGTGGCCGGTGATGCAGTCGGCATGCAGCCGCACCCCTGGTTGTGTTCGTTGTGGTTGGCTCAGATGGCACATACGTTTCAAAGAAACGGGCCTGGCCAGAGGCGGTGGATGTGCACCCCGGATGGCATTATGATCGGGGGAAGGGGGGATCCGAAAGAGAATCCCTGCCCCCGCCCCCGCCGCTCTTCCACGCGCGTCAAAAAATCTCCCCCCCCGACCCGCGCCGTTCAGACATGCCCCCCCCACCCACCCACCCACACACACACACACGAGCCCTATCCCCTCTCCCAAACATCCCCCCCAGAGTCCTCCCCCCAATTCTCAATTTTCAGTTACCTCCTACGTCGACATGCAACCAAACAGAAAACACGAACAAGAAGAGGCGCGGGAGTCCTTGGGCAGCTCAGCGAGACCCAGGCCCCACCTTTTCGCATCCTTCCCCACATGAGAAAGCGGCTCCGGCGGGATCCCCATGACCAGCGGATCCCTGGAATACCACCCCTCAACAGCTTGCGCCCTTCACTGCATTTGCGGCTGGGGAGGCAATTGCCTAACAGCTTTTGCCCACGCTTGGTTGCGGACAAACCTCTACATCACGTGCACCAACTGAATTGCGCGGTTGGGGCAGCTCGCCCAGGAGACACGGAGCGAGTGACCGCGGGGGCCATCACCAGAAGCGAACTTCAAAAGCGAAGGGCTGCAACCTCTGCACCCTCCTCGAGATGGCGGCCCCGAGCGACGGAGGCACTTGACGCGTCTCCACTTCGAAGCGATGCTCCACCAAACAAACGCATGGGCGGGGTCGCTGGGCGGGGTCGTCTTTCCGCGGCCTCCTTACCCGCGTCGCCGATCTGCTTCTGGACCGCCGACCACTGCCTCGCCGCTGGACAACGCATTTCCCTTCGCGGCAAGTCTCGCAATATTATCTGCGCGGCGCGTCCCTTCAATGAACCCCTGACCCCTCCTCCGCCTCGCCAGCCACCTCGTCATCTCTCCTTTCGGTCTCGCCATGGGTAGACATCAGAGCCCCATCGGGGCCCGTGACTCTAGACAGCTCACGCCAAACAAAAACCTCGGAGGAACTTGGGTCTGCGCATGTGCCGGGGGGGGGGGCTGCCAGAGCCCTGCCGCCCGCCGGCCGCCCGGACCCCGTGCGACCATCTTTCGAAGACGCCGTCGCCAAGACGCCCGCAGCGTGCTCGGCCGAAACAGCCGTTTGAGACAGGGTTCTCGGGAGTCCCGCGCAGAGGCCCCGAGCGAGATCCACTTCCTCTGACACATGGACAGCTGCGCAGCCCGCGAGGACCAGCGCCCGCACGCGCCCAGGATAGGCAGCTACCATCATAAGACAACATCGAATCGGGGGGGAGGCGAGGGGGATCGCGCGGCCAGCAGAACTCAAGGATGCCGAGCATTCCTTAGCAAGCCCCCGCCATGCGCTGCAAGATAGGACGCCTTGCCATCCTGGGGCCTTGGACATGCATGTCTTCTGGGCGGGCTACAGGGCGGGCGGGCCATTTAACTGGGTGACAAACAAATCCTCTACATGGTCTGGGTCGCAGGCGACCGCGACAACTTTCACCATGCAGCGCCAACAAAACAAGCCGGCCTTTGAATCCCCAGTCTGGCCTCGAGGAACCACGAGATAACATCTGAAACTCGACCCCCGCCTTTAGGCTTCCACCTGTACGCGCTGCAGAGCAGAATCCTAGTCAATGCCGCGTTGAACGATGGGCTAAAAACATGAACGGGCAATGCATAAGCGCGCGAGCGCCGGTCCAGGCCGCCGAAAACTCGGCTCGCCATCCAACCTTCGCAGTGCTACACTAGGAGCATAGCGGCATTGTTGATGGGATATTTGGATCCCGATGATCCCAAGAAGCTCCGCGGAGGCCACTCTCAAAGAAAAATCGCAATCGCGAGTCCCGGCAAACGTGATTTGCTGGACCAGTTAGGCCCATAATCCTACAGCCTCACCGCCGCGGCAGAGGCATGGCTTCACGTGAGTCTGGAACAGTGGAGCTCTGCGCCGCGGCTGGGTCTTGACCACCCTGAGCCGCTGTCGGCCATGCGAGAAAGCTGCCGACCTCTCTGCCCTCGTCCTGACATGCTGAAGTTTCTTCGAGGCATCCCCGAAACCACATCCACCCCGAGGTGAGTCGCCGCAGGGGGCGCCCCCCCCCAGCCGCCGCCGAGGGCCAGCCTGGCCCTGCCCAGGAGCGGCACATTGGAGGCCGCCGGTGCGAACTTCCCCGCTGACGTCGGGGGGGGGGGTGAGCCCCGGAGGCGCCGCGGTGCACTGCCCGCAAACTCTTCCATGGCGCCACGGACCCAATCTCGGCGGCCTGGAGGAGGAGGAGGAGGAGGAGGAGGAGCAGGAGGAGGGGGAGGAGGAGGAGGAGGGGGCCTCTTGGAGGCCACTCGGTGCACTCCTCCTCCTCCTCCTCCTCCTCCTCCTCCTCCTCCTCCAACTCTTCCATGGATCCCGGGTATGAAGATGCTCGGCGGCCTGCCCGGGCGAGCTTTCCGCTGCGGCCTCCATCCCAGGCGCGTGAGAATTTCGCTTCTCGCGCTGCTGCGCTGCTGATCAGGGCCCGCGCCGTCAGCCACGAGGGCGCGAACCACGCTGCACGAGGAGACAGGGTGTCTAAGAGGTCGAGGGGAAAGCAGACCAGGCCCGCATGCTCTCGAAACTATACGCCCACCCCTGGGAAAGCGCGCAACGCTGCTGGGTATCCCAGAGACGGTTCAAACATTGCAGGTTGCTGGCCCCGCTCGTTTAGATCTGATTGAATCCCCCCATGAAGTTCGATCGGCGAACGCTTCTGGGCGGCAGACAAGAGCCCGCCATCCCGCGCGCAAGCCCCCACCCCCGCGAGCGGCATGTCTGCGCCGCTCCATCCGAGCGATGGATGATGTTGAAGTGACCCGCGGGGGGCCCGGAGTCTCCGCTCCTGCATGTAACAGGGCGTCGAGAAGCTCCGCATTAACGGTTGGCCCATCGCTGGCCAAACGCGCGACATGGAAAATTGGACGCATGTCTGTCACGCAGCAGACCGTAGCGTCGTGGGAGAAACCAGACTGGCCTGCAGATCGAAACTCGGAAATCGTCGCGGACCTCATGCTCCCTTGGAGGATCCCGCGGGCCTTCTTGGCCCCACCCATCATGGACTTGTCTCAATTCCCCGTCCACCGCTCGGCGGCAGCTGGAGCCTCAAGCAAACGTGAAATTGTACCCCACAAGGGAGTTGGTGATTCACCGCCGGATCTGCAATTAGTCCAGCGAGGCTGCTCTGCAAATCAAACCGGCAATGTCGGAGGTGGCCCCTCCGATGCCGCACGTGAAAATGTTCGTGCTTTTGCCCGTGGCCCTCAGAGTGCCTCGTGGAACGTTGTCCTGAAGCTCCATCGAGCCAGGGTTTAACATCTCCACAAGGAACCGCGGGGGAACGGAGGTAGCCACATTTGTTCCAGGAACCGTCCAGATCGCCATGTGGCGAGCCGTGAAGCCCTCGCCGCTGCACAAATGAATGCGATGTCCCGCGACCGTTCCCAATTCCTTCCGCTGCGTCACCTGACGGCCCTGCTCCTCATGCAAAATGGGCCTGGGTAGCACAAAAGGCGCCGACTTTGAGCCTGCGTGAAATTATAAGGCCAACGTTTGACTTTGACCACAAAGCCTAGTTTCGTGAATCAGAAGACATCTGAGGCCATTGACGGAAATGTGTCTCTGCATGCGCCCGCGAGGAGGCATTGAACGTGGAAGCGCTAAGCGCCCATCTTTTGGCGGGCCGATCCAAGCCTGGAGGCCGCCGCGCGGCCTCTGAGCGGCACCCCGCGGCGAAGCGTCGGAGAGCGGGTCGCGCGAGCTCGGCGGCGCCGTCGCTCCAAGAAGTCGTGCGGCCGGCGACTCCCCTTGCAGACCTTTCTCGCGCCTGGTGGCACCTGCGCCATGTGGCGTTGCTGCCGCTGCCGTGGAATCGTCGCTGCCCGAAGCCTCCGGCGGCGCGGCGCCTTTCTGACCCGCCCCCCCCGCGCCTGAAGGTCGCCAGAATCTTGCGGCCCAAATCCTTTTTGTGGCAATCCAAACGCCCCAATTACTGCACAATTGAACATGTCGAACCCCCGCCTTTGTCACAGAGGGTCTCGTCGACAGAGCCCCTCTGTCAGAGCAGGGCTCGCTCTGTTTTTTTTAATGTTATGTGCCGCGACAGATGACGACAGAACAGAAGAAGCATGCGATGACGGGAGAAGGGATGGGATGGATAAGAGAAAAGAAAGTAAAGCAGGAGAGATGAATAATAGCAAGCAGGAGAGATGTCTTGGCGTTCGTCGCCCCGCTCTGCCCCGCTCTGCAGGATGTCTCGGGCGCCGCGGCCTTCTCAGAGAGTTCTGGAACTCTCTGAGAGCGTTCCAGAACGCTCTGGTGAGGGCTTAGCCTCGTCCTAGCCCCGTCTGAGAAGGGCCTCCAGAGGCCGAAAACGGCAAAACAAATAATATCCTCCTGATTCCTCTTCGTTTTCTCATGATAAAAACACCACACATACACGCACACACGCACATACACGCACACGCACACGCACACGCACACACACACACACATACGGATGCACACACGGACACACACATACACACACACACACACGCACACACGGATGCACACACGGACACACACACACACACACACACACGGAAACACACACGCACACGCACACGCACACACGCACACACGCACACACCACACCCGGACTTCGCCGCCCAATGCCTGGCAGCCGCGGCCGAGCGCCCACACGCTCCGGGTCAGGAGGGACGCGCCGGGCGCCCCGTGCGCGGCCCCGCCAGGGTGGGCGCAGGCGAGCATCCTCTGCTCGAACTGCCTGGTCGCGCGCCTCGCTTGGAGGCTCTGCACCGCCAGGCCCGTGCGGAGGGCGCTCTGGACCGGGGAGCAAATCATGGCACAAGCATGAGCTGTCGGAGGTCCTCGCGGACTTCTCGGATCCGCGCCGCCGGTCCGAGAGATCGGCGCGGACCTCCGACAGCGTATGCCTGAGTCAGTTTCCTTCCCCGACTGGAGGAAGATTACCCTGGGCCGCGCGTCCACGACCTGGTGCCTCACGCACTTGGCCCACCAAGATCTCAGCGTCGCGGCGGCTCTCCTGGCCTTCAGGCCGCGGGCCCAGCGCGCGATCGTCTCAACGCTCCCGAGGATCCGCCGCTCCCGCTCCACCGTCACCGCCCCCTCGAGCCGCACGGTCAGGGTGCCCCGCGCCTTGTCCCCGTCCAGCTTGAGCTCAACCTCCTCTACGGCGCCGATGGGGCCAGCGAGGCTGCCGAGTGGCAGCCTCGCCTCCCCGAGGAAGTCCGCGGCCGACATCCGGTCGTGGTCCCAGAGGCCGAACTCGAGCTCGCAGCCGCGGGCGTCGACTGGCAGGGACAAGGCCTGGCCCCAGACGGGGTCCAGGGTCCTCTTGATCACCTTCGTTTTGCCCAATTTCTCCGCCTCGGCGGCCTGTGGGGAAACCAAGCAAAATACAGATACCAACTCTGGGGTGCATTCTGACCCGGATTTCGAAGCGAATCCAGTCGTGGCGGCTGGATTCGCTTATCCGTAGGTTCACATACATATAACTACCCATACATATTTGCAGTACGGGTGTATACATATGTTTGTACATTGCTGTATGAATATACATATATGTATATATGTATGTAAACACGTACATCTACATACGTACATGCATACATGCAGACATGCAGACAGGCATGCAATTTTACATGCAAGCACACATAACTACACACATTAATGAGTATACACATACAGTCAGGCACACACACATGCATACAGGCATACACATATACGCACACGTATGCATACCTACACACATACATACATACATACATACATACATACATACATACATGCATGCATGCATGCATGCATGCATGCATACAAACATACATACATACATACATACATACATACATACATACATACATACATACATACATACACACACATACATACATACATACAGTCAAACTTACACACATACATACAAGCATACATATATACACACTTGCGCACACACACACACACACACACACACACACACATATATATATATATATATATATATATATATATATATATATCCGCCGGCCCCCTTGTGGGGCCACCAGGCTGTAGGCGCGGGTTCGCAGTTTCCTGTACCAGTTGTAGCTTGTAGTTTCCAGTGTTACAAATTCTGCTTCTTGCTGGTTACTGTAACTAGTTGATTGACCGCGCGAGGGGGGGGGAGGCCCAAACCAGATTTTTAGCGTCTCCTGGGCGCGTTGTCTGAATTGCTGGGGGGGCTCGAAATCGACACCCCTCACGCAGATCCGCGGGGTCAGGGTCCAAAAACACAGGGGATTTGCCACATTTCTGAAATTCGGTGCCACCCCTCACGCAGATCCGCGGGGTCAGGGTCCAAAAACACAGGGGATTTGCCACATTTCTGAAATTCGGTGCCACCCCTCACGCAGATCCGCGGGGTCAGGGTCCAAAAACACAGGGGATTTGCCACATTTCTGAAATTCGGTGCCACCCCTCACGCAGATCCGCGGGGTCAGGGTCCAAAAACACAAGGGATTTGCCACATTTCTGAAATTCGGTGCCACCCCTCACGCAGATCCGCGGGGTCAGGGTCCAAAAACACATGGGATTTGCCACATTTCTGAAATTCGGTGCCACCCCTTACGCAGATCCGCGGGGTCAGGGTCCAAAAACACATGGGATTTGCCACATTTCTGAAATTCGGTGCCACCCTTCACGCACATCCATCGCAAGGCGTGGTAACCCAAACTGCGAGAACTCCCTCGGCCCTTTAATCGCAAGGTGTGGTAACCAAGCCCGTAAACCATACACGTCTTACCAATCGCCAGGTGTGGTAACCCCTCTTGTGATCAGTTGGTTTTGCTGATTGCGAATCGGCTTCGCATGAAGTTTCGATACTGCTTCACGACAGCGCCAAGGCCTCATGACTTAGCTCTTCCATGGCCCATTCTCCGAGAGAGGGGGCCGGCGGCAGGGGGCGAAGCCCTTACGGATATATATATATATATATATATATATATATATAAACATATATATATATATATATATATATGCATATATATATATATATACATACATACATGCATGCATGTATACATACATACATACATACATACATACATACATACATACATGCATGCATGCATGCATGCATGCATGCATGCATGCATGCATGGATACAGACAGACATGCATACATACATACATACATACATACATACATACATACATACATACACACATACGTATGTATATGTCGTTATTGCTGTACACGTATGCATGTATGTGTATATATGTAGATCGGCGTGTGTGTGGGTGTGTGTTCCGCCCCTGCGCCTGCGCCCTGTCCAGTTTCCCTGTCTTGCCCACCTCTTGGGAGTCGCCGCGCCCGCGGGTCACCCTGCACTTGCAGAACGGATCGGACAAGCCGCCGCCGACGGACCTGGGCAGGGTGCGCATCATTTTACCGATTCCTATCCACACTGGCGTGGCCTGGGCCCCACTGGCCGATTTAACCGCCTAGATTTCGATGTAGGCTGCTCTCTTCGGGTTTTGAGGGGCACATCCCAAACTGGGGTGGTCGGAAGGTGGGCATTGGGATGGGGATGGGGATAGAGGTCGGTCAAACGAAACTGACCGGGGCAGGGGCCCGTCCGCCCGGCGAAGGCCCGCCGCGCGTACGATCGTCACGCTGGGCAGGGCCTCCTCGTGCGCGCGCGCGTCGGCCGGCCTCGCGCCCACCAGCCGCACCCGCAGGGAGCCCTTCGCCTGCCTGCCGACGAGCGGCAGCTCGCGGTCGCAGGCCACGCCGCTCCTAACCGGCCCCGAGCTTAGCCCCATCCCTAAGATTGACAAGCCTAGAGGCGACGACGATCTCAGGGATGCGCCCTCAGAGACTGAGGAAATCCTCAAGATCCACAGCGAGAAGAAGCAATGCCAATCAACGGGTCAGGGACATGTTTCAGGCTGGTAAGCTCCTGCCGCGCTCGCAGGCCAGCCTGAGGCTGGCCGTCCCCAGTTGGTCACCCTTGCCGAACTGGTCCCAGTCGCGGACCTCGAACTCGAGCAGCCCGCCAAGGGCGTCGCCGGGGAGGGCGCTGCTGGCGTCCCAGCGCGGATTCAGGGTGCTCGAGATCTTGTGTGTGCGGGCGACCTCGGCGCCTCCGAGCAAGCAGCGGCACCAGGGGTCCGACTTGCCGCCGAGCAGGGCGGAGTTCGCCGCCCTCAGGCCGCTGGCGCTCACAATGGTCAGGCTGTCTCCCGCTGGGCTCACGCCGCCGAGGCTCACCACTAGCGATCCAGCGGCATTGCTGTAGCTGCTGGGGGCCAGGGCCACCTCTGCAGCGCTGGATTACTGCAAATGTGCGTCGTGACGACTTCGGCATTGGTTTCTGACATCGCGCAATCGCTCAATTTTGGGCGATGGGCGCTAAGCGAACCATCGTGTCGTTTCATGTTGGCCGACTCTGGAAACCGCACGGCGCTCAGCCTCGAACGCCCGCGCGAGGGTCGTTGCCATGGCAGCACGACGCCACGACGCGAAACCAGCCGTAACAGACTTTCTCAAAGAACGCCCGCATGGGCCGTAGCCACCAACAACTATCCTGGCCGTAGCCACCAACAGTATGCAACTGGCTTTCTGCAAGCAACGACCGGATCTTCAACACAACACTATATTCAACATCGTGTGTGTTGGCGGGGACCGCAAGTGATGAGCTGCTGCACCCTGAGTATGTAAGAAATGTGGTGCATTCTACGTCTGGCGCAAACCGGATGGTCCGATCTACGCGTATTGCAAACAATGCGGCGCAAGCTGTGTGTGATGAAGTGTGGTGAAGGCAATGTGGCGCAAGCAGTATCGTGCACCGTGCAGCAAATGTGGTGCAATCTACTCGTGGTGTAAGAGATGTGGTGCGACCTATGTGGTGTGAGATGTGAGCTGACAGCTACGTGGTGCAAGCGATGTACTGCAAGCTGTGCAGGGTGGTGCAAGCGATGTAATGCGAGCTACGCAGAGAACGCAACACGAAGCACCTACGGTGCAAGCTCGTGGTGCAAGCGATGTAACGCAAACGAGCTGCGCAGAGAACGCAACAACACGAGGCACCGACGAGGCCCTCGCGGCCGCCCACCGAACGAAACGCCGGCGCACCCGCCCAGCGCGCGGGGCGCCTCACGAAGCGCCCACGGCCGTTCTCCAGAGGAAAACCCGGCGGACCCGCGCACGAAACGCAACGCGAGGATTGTTGGGGAACTTTGGCGCCCCCTTGGAACCCCAGGGCGTGGGAGACTTTCCCGCATCCATCCCACTGGCGCGGTCGAGCGGGGAGGAAAAGCCCTGGGAGACCCCTGGAGGAGACACCAAGGGCCCCCCGGACGAGACGTCTGGGGCCGTCTGGGGCTGCTGGACCTCCAATATGGCCTCCAAGACGGCCAGGGTGCTTCCACAACAAACCAATATGTCCCCAGGGGAGCACAAGATGGCCCCACAATGCCTCCAACGCGGTCCATTTGTGCCCCGAAACGCTCAGGATGGCCTTTAAGAAGCACAGGCAGCCCCAGAGACAGCCCCAGAGGGCTGCAAAAACACTCCCCAAATGGCCCAGAGGCAGTCAAGGTAGCAATAATAGCAGGCGAAACCGCAATCGAAATAGTCGAAGTAATCGTAGTCGTAGTCGCCGTCGTAAAAATAATAAGAAAAAACGTTCGTAACAATAGCCGTAATTGTAGTTCGAATTAAATACGCATTGGTAATCTTAGTCGCGGCGTACGGGTAGTAGCCGTAGGAGTCGTAGGTACTGGCGCTCAGATTCGTACTAATTTCAATATTCGCAGTAGTAATGCTGAAGACCCGTGGCAGTACTAAGGGCAGCCGAAACCTATCAACTCAGCCTGCGAAACAAACCAACCCAACCAGCCAACCAGCCCAATCAGCCACCCCGCCACCCCTCAGCAGACCAGCTCAACGAGCAACTCCGCCATCCAGCCATCCCCGCGCACCCCCACCGAGCCCGCCCTCTGTCACCGCCGAGAAGGGGGGAAAAGGCTCTTGCTTCCCGAAGAGATGGGACAGCAAATCCTCCCAGGGCCAGGCGGGACATCGGGGGCCAACATGGGGGGGGGAGTTTCTGATTTCCCGAAGCGATGAGAGAGCAAATCCTCCCAGGGCCGGGCGGGACATCGGGGGCAAGGTAAGCCGCGCCGCGCCGCGGTGGACCACGGCTACGCGCCGCGGGGCGTCCCAGGCGGCGCGGAGCCTGCAAGGCGACAGCGTCGCCATGTCCTTTCTTATCTTCACCGCGCCATCTCTCTCAACGCAAAGGCCCCCGCCCCCGAGACTGCCGTCGCTTCGCTAGAAGGCCCGCCAGGACGGTCAGGGGAAGGCAAGCCGCACAACAACGCAGGGGGCCGCCCTCTGGGACGGGCTCTCCCGGGCGACGCCCGACGGCCTAGAAAGCAACCCGGAGATCCCAGGAAGCCCTGGGAAGTTCAGGAGGCCAGACGCAAATATCCCGCAAGAGCGGGCCCTGGAGGCAAAAACAAATATATCGTCGGAGACTTGGGGGGGGGAAGGGGGCGAGGGCGTCGAGTGCGCATTTGCCCTTCCCGCGGAAAGGCATGCACTTGCAAAATCGCGCCACGATTCGTCGGAGCGCAGGCTATCGGGGCAGAACGCGGGCGACCACCAACGAGGCCTCTCCCCCAGGGGGGGGGGGCAGGCAGGCAGGCAGGCGGGCGGGCGGGCGGGCAGGCAGGCAGGCAGGCAGGGGGGTAGGGAGGGAAGGATGGCGGTAGAAGGTGAGTCCAAGTCGCAGACCAAATCTGAAGGCCCCCCCCCAGCTAAATACAGCTAGGACCCAGGGCCCTCAACCGCTACCCGCCTCAACCTCTTGAGGCGAACCTACTGGGCGCTGAAGGTTTCGGGGGCACCCGAAGGGCCTTTGCAAAGGGCCTCAAGGGCAAGCACCCCCCACGACTCCCCGACCACGCGCGCGCGCCGCTCACAGAACGCATAAGCCCCGACCTCGGCCATTCGATGGCCGAGGCTGTGAAACAGGGCCCCGGCAACCCGGCGACCCTCCACGGAGCTCGTCGCCAGGGCTGCCTCAGACCCACCTCCACCAGGGCCCGAACGCGCGAACCCGACGTCGGAAGGGCGGCGCTCCCCAGAGCCCTCGCCACCCACGGAGCCCCCAGGAATCGACGCGGACGCGCCCCCCACCCCCGCGGAGCCCCACGCAGCAAGGGCACACTCCCCCGAGCCCACAGCGCCAACAGCCCCCCCCCAAGGAGGAGACAGGCTAGCCAGGCACTCGGGATCTTCAGGGCCCCCCTCTAGGACCCTTGCCGCCGCCTCCAGGGAGACTTGGGCCGCCTCGGACGTCATCGGCCTAAAATCCCCCGCGCGCGCAAACGCACGGGCTGCCTGCCACTCCTGCAGAGCCGTCGGCGTACGGCCCCCGAGGGCGCGGGGAGGCCAGTCCGCGTCCTGGACGCGACTCCGCAGCTTCTGAACCTCCATTCCTGGGCACGGGCGCCCCGCCAGACATCGTGCCCCAACGAGGTCTGATCAGGCTCTGAAATGTCTACCACAGGACCGGACGGGGCAGGAGTCCCACGACGACGAGCGGGCGACGGATCCGACGACGACGCTCTGAGACCCAACTCGATCGCCCTTGCAACCCCCGACCAGGCCTGGCACGTGGCAAACTCCTGGTACCCTTGCAAGCCCATCCTGAAGAGTTCAGCCGCGCCCTGCGCCACCATCTCCGAGGCCGCCCCCACTTTGGCAAACAAATCCGCCCACGAGTTGCCGATCGCACAGGCAAAGGGCGGGCCCGAATCCTGGGTGGCAAGCACAGCCTCCTGGAGATCTCTATGGGCAGGGCACCAGTGCACAAAAGGAGGGACCTGACAACGACCATAGACAACGGCTCGAATCTGCCTCCACACCGCAGCATGCTTAGCCCCAGGCCCCGCCAGTTTATCATTCCATGCGAGCGCCTCCTCAGCTCAGCCTAACAGGTCAGCGACATCGACTTGCAGCGACGGGACGTTCTCAATCGCACGCAAAAGCGCCACCCGCTCAGCCTCGCCAACAGTCTGATTGGCGCCGCCGAGCCTACCATGGCAAGCTCTGGCTGGTATGCCTTCGCCGTCGGACTGCTCCACGGCCCTAAGCCATCGGTGATCGCCGCGTTGCCCCTCGTAGCGGGATCCGAATCCAAATCGCCCCACCTTACCACGCGCGGGTCTGGGGAGGCCCACTGAAAGCCCAAATGAACCAGGGCCCGATGCCCCACGAGAAAAAGAGGCCCCGAATTTTCTACAAGGGTTCAGTGATCGGCACCTCCGCTTCAAACTCGAGGAACTGCTCGCGAAGCACAGAGCACTCAAGTAACATATGCCCTCAACGTTCTCGCTCCGCCCCACAGCCCCGACACTTCGGGCCGGCTGCGAGGCTGCGCTGATACAGTTTAGCCTGGGGCCGCCAGGAATCGGTCCAGAGGGGCCGACCAACCCGCGCCGACCTCGGATTTTGAACCGCGGCCCACTTGGACCCAGCGCAAGCGCGGATCCCGCGGGGCCACAGTTCCGCGTCGGCAGGAAAGGTAGAACAATGAGCATGGATTCGGCGCATCTGCCAGCGCTGGGTGCCAGCTCGCAGCAGGCTGAAGATGCTGCGGGGCGAGTAAGCTGCGCCTTGACCCGAGCGGATTACAAATGAAGATTCAATATACCAGCCCACGCGCAGCAAAGACATACCTACTGCTGAGAGCTGGCCCGACGCATGCTGCCAAGTACACATATCCCGACGCTGCTCAACAAGGGCCCTCCAAGCTCTCTCTCTCTCTCTATCTCTCCCTCTCCCTCTCTTTCTTTCTCTCTCTCTCTCTCTCTCTCTCTCTCTCTTTCAGAGAGAGACAGAGAGAGAGATCCCAAAGAAACCGTTTGCATCCAGACTACCTCCGCAAAATGCTCAAAAGGCGCATGGGCGGCCTCAAACATCGGGTCAAACCGAGGACTGGCTTGGGGCGCAAGGTAGACCTTGGCGCCAACCAGCGCCCCCGAGGCCGAGCCCCGGAGAACAATCGCGAGCTGTTCAACATCAGCTTAAAGTTAGCTACAGCACTCCACAAGTTCCCAACCCCCCACCGCCAACTCCCCCACCCACTGGATAGAATGATCATCAAACAAGGCTCGGGGCACGACATGACACGCGCGCGCGCCGCGCAGACGGCAAGGTGAAGAGAGCCAGCAGAGAGGTGGAGCGCGCGCACCCTGCGAGCATGCCTTGCCAAGATGAAAGGCCGCGAAAAAAGATGCAAATGCCTTCGGGACTCGCGGCTGGCGGTGATGCTCGATGACCATCCATGCCAGCCGAAAAAGATAGCCCTGACGACGGGCTTCACAGAGGAGCTCACCTGGACTGGTCCAACCGCAGGCCCTCCACGCACCGACAGCAGCAGTCGCCGCATGCCTGCCCATGAGGGACGCCACCTCCACCGCGAGGTTGCGCCCGAACACCGCTGCCGACGACGCGCGGCCCACGCGCCCCAAACGTCGCGAAGGTCCGTGCTGGCAACCCAAGCACGGGGGAGTCAACTGCGGGCCTCAGCCCAAAGGCGGGCGAAGGACTTTACAAGAGCGGTGAGCCTCGATCCACCAACTTCCTCGGGTAGCCTGACTAAGGTAGTGAAGATCCTGCGATCAGGCCAGAAACCCAACATCTCGCACCGCTGAAACGACTCAAACAGGACGACGAAGCCTGCATCCGACAGATGCCACAACGAACGCGGCGCGATACTCGACTGCCCAACTGCCGCGCTCGCCTGGACCGCGAGGCACACTCTCCGCAACGGAGCGACCGACAGCCCAGGCATCTGATCCCATCCAAAGTCATGGGGGCGCCTGCGCTGGGTCAGCCCGTGCGCCGTCCAGATGCGGCGCCACTCCTCCACCCCGCGCCGTGCGAGCTTGCGCGGGCTCCCTCTGGCCGCCTGCCCGACGACCTCCTGCAGGGGGCGGGCCCAGGTGCGCCGATGCGCCAGGCTCGCTCCCCCGCCGAGGGGCCCCCAGGCCCGCTCCCTCCAGCTCGCGCTCTGCCCGCGCTCGAATGCCTTCTGCGCCGCGTCGGCCGTCGGCAAAGGCGTCTCCGTGGTGCCGCCAGCTCCCGGGCCCGGCCAGGCCGCAAAACCCCGGCGCAAAATAAATGGCCAATTCAGTCTCCAGCAAGCCGCGGGCGCCTGGCGACGTTGCAAGATTCGCGCAGAACTGCTGCAACCCAGCCAACTGCTGCGCCAGGTTAGACGTCTGCTCAACAGAAACATCACGCATGGCATTGGCAGCCATCGACCTCTGCGCCATCTCACATTCTGCCCCGAGAGGACCGCCCATGTCAGTGCCAGCGCGCCGCCGCCCGCCTGCAGCGCTGCTAAACAGGGAATCTGGCACTTGCGCCGTCGGGGCGGTGTCCAACCAAGCTGCGCGAGCCCAAGCTGCAAAGCGCCACCTCGACCCTCATGGGGAACTCGTTCAACCGTGGCGTGGCCACAACGATGACAACTCTCAACCTCAATCCCTGAAGCACCTGGCCCCGCGCCCGCTGAAGGCCCACCTGGCCATCTGCGGCAAGAACATGGCGCATGGCGACTTCGCAGGCATCAAGACGTGGAGACGGCGAACACCCTGCCGGCGCCTCGGACCCCCAGCCACGCGGCCCCTCTGGAATGCGTGCCCACGCCTCGACACCAGTCACGGCAAGGGGAAGGTGGACAGGATGGCGCGGGGAAAGTTCCGAGCATTGGTCAACCCAAGGGGCCCCCACTCGCAGCGCCAAGTTGCCGCGCGCCAAACCAAAATCCACGGTGCTGCCATCCCCTTCGACGCAGGATTTCTCCGCGGGCGCGACGTGTGCGCCTGGGAAACCTGGGGCCCAGCCAGACACCAGTAACTCATAGCTTGTATTGGAGTCGCCCAGGCAAATTCAGTCAAGCTTGAGCGCCGACAGCACCTGTAGATTATATTGCAGGTGAGCTTGAATGTACGCGCTGTCCCCACTGAACCCCACCAAGTCATGGAAGCACGCCGACGACGCGACGATGCAATTTCGCACTCCCCAATCAACTTGAGCTGCACAGAGCCGACCTGGAGCCACGTCAGCATCAAAAAACCGGCGCTGTAGTGACCGGGATGTGCGTCTTCGCTAGCATAGCCACACCTCCCGACGCGCCCCCCACCGTCCGAAGGGGCAGCAGCACTCCAGACCCCGTGGCATCACATGTCCTTGGCTTGATCCCGTGAGGACCCGAGTCTCGAAGCGATCGCGCGATGCTCCTGCACCGCCAGGGTCGAGCTGGGATCCCAGCTGACAGTTACTTGATGAGGCGGCCCCGCTGGACGCGCTCACGCTGGTGATGGGCCCTTTTGACAACCCCCTCCCGGCCATCACGGGCGACAGCCTCACCCGCATTCACTATCGAAGACTGGAGCAGGCCAGGAGGTCGCGGCGCCAGGGCCATCTCCTGCGGCCCATCCGACGACGAACGGGTCAACGAAGTGGAAACTCATGTGGCACGCACTCGCGCCTCCTGAGCTCCAGCGATTCCACCGGCCTGAAGACTGGCAGCCCCCACCTTCTCAGCCCAAGGGGGGTCGACGCCAAGCAATGACGAGCCAATGGTCGTGGAACCCTCAGCCGCGAAACTGCGCCCAGCCGCCGCAAAAGCCGTGGGGCACGGAACACTGGGCGTATAATGTGAGGCCGTATAGGCAGAAGTAGACGAGGAGGCCGCCGCCGACGGGGAGACTCCTGGGGCCAGCAGCGCTGAAGTGTTAGATCCCATTATCATGGAGCAAAGCTGGAACGAACAGACAACCAATCCCCAGCATCTGCTCCTAGTAGGGAGCCCGCGCCGACGTCGTCGAGAACGCCCGCTTCGCGATGGCATGTATCTCGGAATCCTCGGCGGGGAGCTCGCCGAAACAGCCCATGGTAGTGAGATCCACTCGGAGCTTCTCACCATCCATGTTGTCGACATCGGGGGCATCGCCTCGCTGGCGCCTGGGCTGCGGGGACCCGCCCTCGCCTGCATGCGCACCGACCTCAGGCTCGGCGCGCTTGGCGGTGACCAGCTGGCCCACGAGCGGGTTCGTCTTGACCCGCACGAGAAGCTCCCTTTGGACACCCACCGTCTGCAACGGCTGGGCCATCACCTCGATGTCCACTTGCCCAGCAGACGCAGACTTAGCGCCGGCAGGAGAGCAACCGCGGCGGAGCCCAACTGCTGCAGCTGACCCTCGAGCTCATGAAAGACAACACGTTGCGCAGCCGCCTTTGACTCAGCCTCCGCCGCAGCCTTTTGCAAGGCCAGCAGCTCCTCCCGCTTGGCGGCAGCAGCCTTCTCCAACTTCTGAATATTTGTGGATTCATTCTGCAGCTTGGTGAACAGCTGCCGTATCTGTGAGCACAATGGTTGCTTTGCCTGCAAGGCGTCGGCTGCAAACTTCTCCATGCCCGCGACACCGACACAGGCAGTGTGAATGCCCTCCTTAGCAGCAGCCTGCGCCGTGAGTTTGGCGTCCTCATCATCATCCGTGGGACCGTCTTCGCACACAACGACATCGGGGCGGGCACCTGCAGCAGGCTTGGCAGCCACCTTGCGTCGCAGCTCGGTGACATCAGCCTGCAACAGTCACAGCAGCTTGGTCGCCTCGCCATCGCCATTCCCGCCACTGGGTCCGCTCGCTGGACGAGGCTTGCGCACGGAAGGGACCTTGGACTCGACATTTCTCGAGAAGCAGGCCCCTTTTTGTGCATTCCTCCACATCCTGACTTGTCGCGCCCGCCGCAGTGCATCTTCCATCCTGCGCTGACCCCAAAATCATCAGAACGCTGAGTACAGTACAGAACCGACACTGCCAGTCCTGCGACGGAGGCGCCATTGTCTCTGGGCAGCGCACAGCCTACCCTTGGACGAAGGATGGATGCTGTGCCGCCTGGGCACGCTGACGCAGCGGTGCGTTGAATCTGCTGGATCTGAGGAGGAGGAGGGGGAGGAGGAGGAAGAGTGAGGAGGAGGAGATGGAGGAGGAGGAGGAGGAGGAGGAGGAGGAGGAGGAGGAAGGGATGCCAAAACGCCCGGCCCGAAAACACCAAGACGCCACGCGGGAGCCCACCGAAGCTTTGGGCGCTCCAGCGGGGGCCGCCTCCGGCGCGCCGGCCGCGGCCGGCCTCTGCTCCTCGGCGGGGCCGGGGGAGCTGGCCTGCAGGGGGCGGCACCCGAGCCCCACCCCCGCCAGCCTTATCACAGGAGGCCGCACGCGAACCCCACAGTCGACCCGCATCATCAGGATGCGCGGTGGATGCGAGGGCCCTGGAAGGACATGTTGACGTGACGTTTTCGAACGAGGTTGGCCAGCGAAAGTCGTCAAGGATGGATCGAAGGGGCAAGGATGCCAGGGTACCCTTGGGAAGGTTTCCCATGTTTAGTATGCGGATTGGCTGTGCCCCCCACCACCCCAAGATTTCTAAAGGGGGGTGGGGTTCACTTTGCTCGGGAGGTCCCGAACGAAGTGAAGCCCACCTTCCCCCTCGGAAATGGTGGGGTGGTGGCAGGGTTCGCAAGTGGCCTCGGGAATGGCCGCCTATCCGATGCTCCAACCTGCTCAGAATGATTTTCGAGCACCACAAAAACCACCGACAGCTGGAGGTGTCTCACGTGTAGAGCCCTGGGAGGCGACGTTCGCTCGACAACTCGCCGGCGCGTCGGGCAGACAGAGTCCCGATACTCCTGTGGGTGCTCGACCGAATTTCTAGGATGAGGCCCTTACGTATCATGGGAGCAGCGCAACGCCAGCCATCGAGGCTCCGACTCGCCTAGATCCCCCCGCGCGTTGTGGCAAGACTCACGGCGGGAATTGTTGCTCCATTTTCGGCCTCCAGGGGCGCTTACGGGGCCTCGGGAGCGTCAACGAATACGACTGGGGATGAAGAACAGGTCGAGGCGAAGGGGTCCAAACCTCTGGGGGTCGACGCTGAGAAAAATCACGACGTCGGGGGGGGTATCGGTTATGATAATTGCGAGGCCCAATCTAAAATCTGACGCGATCTCCCGCTGCAAGCATCCCGCGAACGCCAGACCCTCAGAGTCCAGGACGCGCTCCTCAAAAACCGTGGGCAAGCCCGAGCACCGGCGTTCCCGGGTCTTACGTCTCCCCGACCCAAGAGGCGCCCGAGAGCCCCCCAATAGGCCCCCAAGAGTCCCAAGAGAGCCCCAAGAGCACTCCCGAGACATTCCCAAGAGGACACAATCTTCGATGTTACTAAAGTGTTGGAATGTTTTTCGTGGTCGCCGTCGTCGCCGGCGCCTTTCAGGGGCGGCGGCACTGGCCGTAAGGCCTTCGCAATATCGTTTCAGCGATCCCCATCCCCACTGGAATGGTATCGGTCCCGACGACCGACCTAACTACTAGAGGCCTCGCAAATCAGATGCGAGTAGATGGCTTTGGAGGATCGGCACGCATCGCCGATGCATCGTCGTTACATTGGCGATGCCGCCAGCGACGTCGGCGATTCATTGGCGATGCCGGCGTGGAGACAATCGGGCTCCGCATCGCGCCGCATCGCCGATGCATCGGCGATGTGGGGCCATCCTATGACCCCATGTACCCTCCAAAGGTCTCCAATACCCCCGATAACTGGCAAATTTTTATTTCCCGTGGGCTAAGTGAATGTTGCCGCCGCCCACCAGCACTAGGCAATTCATTCCTCCTGGCGGCGACCGACGGCGACGACGACGACGACGGCGACGACGGCGACGGCGAGGGCGACGACGACGACAACGACGGTAATTCGGACCTGATCTGGGAGCCCTAGATTTACGGTGTCGCCGACCCGCCCCCAGTTTCGACTACACACAGGAATGATCCTAGGCAAGAGCGACCTTTTGGTGCGCGCCGAAGGGTGGGGGCCCGTTCGGGACACTGCCAGGCGCGCAAACCGCTGCTATCGCAGCGCACTCAGCGATCGGGGGGCCCCAGCGTGCCCGCACTCGAGGTCCCTCAGGCGAAGGGCCACTCTTACGTGTACAGTGGGAGCTCGACCACCAGAAACCATCCACAAGAAGCCCGACCCTGAGACCCCAGGACGTCCATTCATTGATGGTGTGGACACGTCACGCTTTCCATCGCAAAACCATCGACGCCCAAGCAACCCGGGGCACCCTGGAGGCAACCAGGGTGTTTCTTGACATGGGTTTCCGCGCCGCCGGCTTTCCTCGGCCTCGCTGCAGAGCCCAGCCTCGGAGCGCGCCGCCGCGTCTGCGGGCCGCGCCCCCGGCCCCTCCATGCCGTGTGCAGGGCCCGCGGAGTCTCGCGCGGCAGAGGGCCGCCCTGGAAAGACGGGCTGCGGGCGACGACGACGCCGACGACTCCTGAGATCCCAGCGCCGCAGTCTTTGCGAGCCAGGCGTTCTCGCCCAGCTTAGACCCCAGGGCCCTCACGGATCGAGGCGGCTCGAAGCATGGCGCGGAAAGACGGGGTCCCCAGGGCTCCAGTCGTGGCTTCCAGCGATGTTGCAATTTCTGTCGCAGCGTAATTAGGACCTCTGGGGAGGGCCGCCCCCCCCTCCCCTCCCCGGAGTGGTGAGGAAGAGCGGAGAATGGCACAAACGGAAACCGTTCGCGGAGGTCTGCGCGGACTTCCCGGTCCGGACCACCTCCCTGTGAGGCCAGCTTGTCGTCCCTGGGTCGAATGCTGACGGTGCCGAGGCCTGGCGAGGGATCCCGGAGGCCGAAAGCAGCCCAAAACCGCCCGCTCCAATTTTTGTAAGGTCGGGCATGTCCTCCGACAGGCGGATTTGGGGAGAAAAACTAGACAATAGCCAAACAAATTGCAAGAATCGTAAAATATACTCGCCCCCAGACTATTCTTGGATATTCCTCCTGTAGAAGGACGCGCCCGACTTACAGCCTGCTGTTTCGTAGCGTCCAATCCCTGGGTCGCCTCGCGCCGGTGGGCGCTCCCCGCGGCGGTCGGGCCCGCCGCCGCGGGGCTCGCGGGGCCTCGCGGGGCCCGTCGGGCCGAGGTGCCCCCAAAGTGCGCGCACTTGTTTTTTTGGTGTGTATATATATATATACATACACACACATATATATACACACTAGTGTGGACCCGTGGATGTATATTCCCCAATCAGAGCTTGCCTCTGTAGGGGTCCCAGCGGATTCATATGGTTAGGTTAGGTTTGCCGCCGATTTTCGCCGCACGCCCGGGTGCCCGGGTGCCTGGGGGTGCCCGGGGGTGCTCGGGTGCCAGGGTGCCTGGGTGCCCGGGTGCCCGGGTGCCCGGGTGCCCAGGTGCCCGTGTGCCCGGGTGCCTGGGTGCCCAGGTGTCCGGGTGCCTGGTAGCTTCTACATAGCCCTATAGCCCTGCAGCCCTATAGCCCTATAGCCCTACTAGCCCTATAGCCTTATAGTCTTATAGTCTTATAGCCCCATAGCCCTATAGCCCTATTGCCCTATAGCCCTACAGCCCCATAACCCTGTAGCACAATAGCCCTATAGCCCTAATTATGGCCCTGTAGCCCTGTAGCTCTATAGCCCCATTGCATTCTAGCCTTATGGCCTTATCACCCCATAGCCCTAAAGCCCTAAAGAGATTATGAATGGCTTTTTTCTCTGGAATCACATATGTATATATATATATATATATATATATATATATATATATACATACATACATACATACATACGTACTAGTGTGGACCCGTGAATTAAATCCACGAGGTGAAGCATGGTGGCGCTCGCTGGGTGGTGCGACGCTGCCAGCTACGCCTTAGATCCCTTGAAGCTTGTTCTAGTGCTGCTCCCCCACCGAAGGCGCCCAATGCATCGAAACGGGGGCCGAAGTGTTCGAGCTTCGCAAGAGGCAGAAATTCAGGAGTCCAGGCCTGAACAACGTTGGAAGATTCGCGCCGGGACCGCGGCGGACGCGGGAGCGGGTTCGGGCAAACGCGGCGCCTTCTCGGGCCGCGTCGGAGGCGTCGGAACGGCGTCGCGGCAAAGTAGGGAGCGCAGCGGGGCAGCCCCAGGGCCATTGGAGCGTCAACACATTGTTTTTGTTGAGCCTGCGAGGGGCCTCTCGCCTCTCGTCCGCCCCCACTGTTGGAAGCAATTGTGAAGCTTCTTGGGAGCCGTTTGGGAGCTCTATGGGGGCTGTTTTGGGCTCCTTGGGGGCTTCTCGGAGCCCTCTTGGCCCGGCAGGGCGCCTCGTGGGCCGTCTTGGGCCGTCTTGGGCCATCTTGGGCGCCTATCGGGCCGTCTTGGGGCCATCGTGGGCTGTCCTGAGCGCCTCTTGGGCCTCTCGTGGGGTCCTCTTGGGTCGTCTTGGGTGCCTCTTGGGCCGTCCTGGGCCCGTCTGGAGCCATCTTTGGGCCCTCTTGGGGGCCGTCTTGGGCGATCTTGGAGGCCTCTGGTGCCGTTTTGGACGCTTCGGAAAGCAATAAGCCGAATCTGCTGAAAATGTCAATTTTCCGAACAGACTGTGACGATTTTGGCTTGAAGGAACCCTTTCGGGGGACCCCTTGGACCCGCCTGGAACCGTCCTGGGGCGTCTTTGGGGCTCATGGGGCCGTCTGGAGAGCATCTTGGGCCGCCTGAGGTCGTCTCGGGGCCTCCACCAGCCGTCTCGGGGCTGTCCTGGGCCCCTCTTGGGCCTCTCGTGGGGTCCTCTTGGGTCGTCTGGGGCGCCTCTTGGGCCGTCCTGGGCCCGTCTGGAGCCATCTTTGGGCCCTCTTGGGGGCCGTCTTGGGCGATCTTGGAGGCCTCTGGTGCCGTTTTGGACGCTTCGGAAAGCAATAAGCCGAATCTGCTGAAAATGTCAATTTTCCGAACAGACTGTGACGATTTTTCCTTGATGGAGCCCTTTCGGGGAACCCCTTGGACCCGCCTGGAGCCGTCCGGGGGCGTCTTTGGGGCGCATGGGGCCGTCTGGAGAACATCTTGGACCGCCTGAAAGCCGTCTTGGGTCGTCTCGGGGTCTCCATGGGCCGTCTCGGGGCTCTTCTGGGGAGCTCCGGTGCCGTTTCGGGCCCTTCCCGGGGCCCTCCGGAGCCGCGGGGTTCTCTGAGGGCTCCGGGGACCAGGGGCCCACGCAAACCCACAAAGCATCTTTCGGATTTATTTGAATGGATATATGTGTGTACATATATATATATATATATATACACGTGTATATATAATTGCATAAAAACATCAAGAAGCACAGGACAGGCTGCCCCGCGGCTAGGCAAAAGGCGGGAAAGCAGAAGGGGAGGGAAGAGCCAGCAGAGCAGCAGCAGCAGCAGCAGCAGAAGCACGATCCCGAGTGTGCGCACGATCGATCGCGCGCGCTCGCGCGCTTCGGCACAGGGCGAGCGCCACCCTGCTCTCATCATGATTAAGTTGGCGGCGAGCCCATGCTGCCGAAGCGTCGAGCGAACTTCGCCTCCTACGGCCCGACAATTGAAAACCCTCTGATTTCGGCACTGTCTTGGTACTCGTATTCCTTTTCTGGCGGTCGAGACTCAAGTAGGTTAGAGCATCATGAGCGGGGCTGGCGGCGTGGCGCCTCCTTGCGCTGGTGCTCCTTGGCAGCCTTCTCGGCCTGCGCGTCGTGGTGCACGACGCATCGTCGTCGTCGTCGTCGTCGTCCTCCTCCTCCTCCTCCTCCTCCTCCTCCTCCTCCTCCCTCTCATCATCATCATCATCATCATCATCATCATCATCATCATCATCATCATCATCATCATCATCATCATCATCATCATCATCATCATCATCATCATCATCATCATCATCATCATCATCATCATCATCATCATCATCATCCTCATCCATCCTCATCCTCATCATCATCATCATCATCATCATCATCATCATCATCATCATCATCATCATCATCATCATCATCATCATCATCATCATCATCATCATCTTCATCTTCATCATCATCATCATCATCATCATCATCATAATCAGCAACATCATCACCACAATCAGCATCATCCTCATCATCATCATCATCATCCTCATCCTCATCCTCATCCTCATCCTCATCCCCATCCCCATCCTCATCCTCATCCTCATCCCCATCCTCATCCTCATCCTCACCATCAGTATAGTCATCAATTGGCCACGCCATGCGTGTCCAACTCCCTGGCATGTGTACGTATGCGCCCGATACGCCAGGGCATCAAGGTACCGCGCGAGCAAGCAAGCCTCCAGGGGAAGGCGGGCAGGCGTCAAGCTTCGAATGGTTTTCTTCCTCCCCCGCGGGCGTGCTCCTCGCAGAAATCCCATCATCCTCCGCGGCCGCGCGCGCAGCGGCGGAGCCGCGACTGCGAGCCGAGGCCACACGGCCCGAACCCTCGGAGGGGGTGATGTGAGCACTCTGAACCAGCTGCCCCTCAAGGCTGCTCAAGAGTGCGCCGAAAAGCAGCCGCCTGGATGCACATCGAGCCGACGACCTCCACCGTACCCCTGGTTGGTGACCACGGGCTCCTCGATGCGCCGGGCGGAGGTCGGTGACCACCTCGTTGGCCTTGAGCACAGAGTGCTGCATCGCGCCGCTGGTGCTGCACTGCGAAGGCCTGACGTCCGGGCACCAGGCCGCCGACCAGACACGCGGCCCCCCATGCGGCAGCGAGGCCCTCTCCCCACTCGTGGCCAGCGGCTGGACAAAGCCTCGGCCGGGCAGCGACGCCCCCGCGCGAGTCGCTGCAGGTGAAGCCCCGCCGGCACCGCCAGCACCGGGCCTCCGCGTGCGCGGCCGCGGGCAGAGCCCCAGCGGTGCTGCCAGCGGCCTCTGCCTCGGGCCCGCCATCAGGCGCGACGACCTCCCCCTCCAGCTCGATAGTGCCCGCACCCCCGAAGGCGGCAGCGCCGCTGACCGCGCGCCTAAGGTACTGCCCCCTCTCTCTAGAATTAGGTCGGGCCTGTCCCCCTACAGGGGGATTTTGGACGAAAAACTAAAATACACTAAGAATATTCAAAAGAGGCCCAACAATATATATATATATATATATATATATATAGATGTGTGTGTGTGTCAATTTTATATTCCCCCTGTAGAGGGACAGGCCCGACTTAACTTTAGAAACCCGCCGACGCGGCTTCTCAACCCGCGGCCCCACGGAGCTCCCGAGCCCTGGCCCAGGGGTCGCTCTGCGCCCCGGGCCCCTCTCCGATGGCCCTCTAGCACGAGAGCGACCCCCCCAGAGGCCAAGGCGAAGGTGCAGCGCCGCAGCCGAGCAGAGAAGTCACACCCCCGGAGGACTGCGCCCGCCGCCCTCTGCACTGGCGGGGCCCG